CTACTTGCTGTCTTGACATAATGCCATCAGACTTTTTAAAAACAATTCTTAACTCCATATTAATGGACCTACGGCAAATAGTTAATAGCTCTGTGCAATCAGGCATCTTCCCAACGTCTCTAAAAACAGCTGCCATTAAGCCCCTATTAAAAAAGAGAACACTGGATACATCTATAATGAACAACTAAAGACCTGTATCATAACTACCTTTTATAGCCAAGATCATTGGGAAGGTAGTCTACAATCAACTCATCAATTTTGTGACCTCAAGTGGTCTCTTAGACAAATTTCAGTCAGGTTTCCGACCTCACCACAGTACTGAAACTGCCCTGATTAAAGTTTTAAATGATATACGGCTGAATACTGATTCTGATAAAATAACAGTTCTGGTTCTATTAGATCTCAGTGCAGCATCTGACACTGTAGATCATAGAATACTTATAGATAGGCTGTAAAATTGGGAAGGCCTCGATTGGTTCAGATCTTATCTAGACGGCTGCAAATACTTTGTCACTATTGGTAATCATGAATCTGATAGGGTGGCTATGATGTGCGGAGTTCCACATAGATCGGTTCTGGGGCCGCTTCTGTTCAATCTCTATATGCTACCTTTGGCCCAAATCATACAGAACAATAATATTAACCACCACAGCTATGCCGATGATACCCAAATATACATAGCCCTCGAACCTTATGACAACAGCTCAATAGACTCTCTGTGTCACTGTATAGAGAACATAAATACCTGGATGAACCAAAACTGTTTGCAATTGAACCAAGGTAAAACTGAGATTATTGTGTTTGGCAACAAAAATTATAGAACAAGTATTATTAAAGAGCTTGATTCTCGGGCCCAAAAAACTAGGGAGCAAGTGCGTAATCTTGGTGTTCTGATAGACTCAGACCTCACATTTAACAGTCATATCTAAACGGTCAGTAAAATAGCATTCTATCATCTAAAAAATATAGCCAGAGACAAAGGTGTGGTGTCCCAAAAAGACCAAGAGAAGCTTATCCATGCTCTTATTTCTAGTAGGATTGACAACTGTAATGGCTTCTTAACGGGACTCCCAAAAAAGACTATAAAGCAGCTGCAGCTCATTCAGAATGCTGCTGCTAGAATGTTAACCAGGACCAAGAGAACGGAGGACATCACTCCAAATCTTAAATCGTTGCATTGGCTTCCAGTTAGTTACAGAATAGACTTCAAAGTTGTGCTTTTAGTTTATAAATCTCAGAATGGTTTAGGACCCGAATACATCTCTGATATGTTTGAAGAATACCAACCAAACAGGGCTCTTAGATCCATGAACACAGGTCAGTTAGTGCAGCCTAGAGTCCAAACTAAACATGGAGAAGCGGCGTTTAGCACTTCTGCTGTACACATTTGGAATAAATTAGCAGAGGATCTTAGACATGCCCCTAATACAGCAATTTAAATCCAAGTTAAAAACACTTCTCTTTGGACGTGCCTATGTCTGAGTACTTTTACTTAACCACGCTGTTAGCCTTATAACTTCTTACGTTTTTATTGCTATATGTATTTTATGATAATGTTTCTATTATAAAATATACACAGTTTTTGGTTGTTGTGTTGAAATATTCCCTCATTCACAAACCATTTGTCTTTTGGTATATCCTATTACTACTAATGCAGTGTCTCAATCTGTACTGGGAGAAACCTCAATATAACAAACCCTGTGCACAACAGCTTGTTAGGAGCCATTTCTTCAAACTTTGGGTCATTTCCCGTAGTTTGGTTTGTTGTGGCTGCTGAGAACAAAGCCATTAAAACTTTTGTGCTCACAAAATAACAGCTAAAAGATGGTTGACAGGTGTACAGTGCTGCAGTTCACTAGGTGTTAAAATGGCGATGGTGCAATGGATAAGACTATGCCTTTGGTGTGAGAGACCTGGGTTCAATCCCCAATTGTAAGTCGCTTTGGATAAAAGCATCAGGTAAATGAATAAATATAATCCTAGGAAGTTTTTTTTCATGGGAATGGTATTGATGCAGCAGTTACCCAGACTGAAGGAGCCTAATGAAATGATGTAATAAACTGAAGCCAAACTAAAGATAAAGGGCCTGGAATCAGGTCTGTTTACATCCCCCCCTACTGCTAAAATCTGTAACATTATAGTATGACAGGCTACCAACACTTTACTCAATAAACAAACTAAATGAATCCATGTGACTTTTGTTATGGAAGCATGGTTTGACTTGTAATCGGGCACTGTGAACCTAAACAAAGCCAATGCAAAAATGCAACAAAGTAAACTTTTCCAGTGTGGTTTATATCAGAGAAAATGAGCTGTGTGCGTGTTAGAAATTGAGAAGCGTAACAATAACGCTCAAGCAGACTTCATTTACTGGAACTAAATGGTTACAAAAACAATCTTCCTGTGAACATGTTTTGTATTCAAACCTGGATTAATAATGCTGAGATGTACGAGTACTGTAATTCTAACGTTAATCAAACCAGTATGTACCTGGATGTACTTGTGGTCGGACAGGCCAGGAGGAACACTTGTCAGAACATTGTTGTCGAGGTGTAGCTCTCGCAGGTGGGGGACGTTAGCCAGTGTGCCGTTTTCCACAGAGCTGATCTCATTGTAGCTCAGACCCAGCCTGCAGGAAAAAAAACAAAAAAAGAGAAACTAGATGAGACATGGAAATGTGCAAATGATGTACAAGAGTGAGGAAACCAAAAAGATTCTCCACCTGACACTGAAGCACATCCCAGTTTCTTAATTATGAGCGAATGGAAAATAAAAACCATCCTTTGCTCATATCTTCTCCAACATACTTTACTCCTGCTGCATCAAAGCTCTCTTTGTTCTAGTTTGGAATGCCCTCTTTGGCACAATCTGAGCAGTGATCTTATAAACACAGTGTATCCAAATTTTATGAGCAAACCAGTTATTTTCATTATCCAAAGACTACTGTTTAGGTTTTGTTATATGGTAAATCATATAAACGGCAATACCAGAGCTAGCATTCCAAGTAAAGCTAATACATGTCAAACCTGAGAATGAAAACATTAGATGGCATGAAAAACTGTAGGATGATAATAATAAACAGAATAAGACATGCATGTTCTAATATTTCCTATGAGGAGTTTTAAAGCCAAACTGTGTAACCTTTGAGAGATTAAATAACAGAACATTCCTCTTATAAAGGAAAAACTAAATTCACAAGCAATAAAATACACGTTGCTAAATTCAAGTCGACAACTTTAGATGGATGGAACTGCAGAACTGACATTTTTCTGCCAATTTAATGACTCTATGGCTCTTTACTGGTGATATATGCCTGGTACAGATAAACATTTAAATGATTCTATAACAAAAGTAATACAAGAAGTAAACACGCTGTACATCACCAGGAGACATGACTTGCAGAGAATCTTAGAAAATAAGGGGAAATTCAATGTACGATTACATTGTAATTGCCATTTGTGGCCACAGTGGCTGCTGTTAAATGGTCTTGCTTTAAATGCTTAAAGTTAAAAAAAGAAATGATAAGGTTAACAAAAGTCATAATTCTTATTACTTGGCCAGGTTCTTCAGGCCCTGGAGGTTGCCAGACATCACTTTGCTGATCTTGTTTCCATCCAGGTGGAGCTCAGACAGAGAGCTGGGCAGACCTGGCAACCCACAAGACAAGCATGCACCCATGAAGAAATGGATAACTTCAGTAAAATCTACCTTAAAAGCTTATATGACATTATGAAGCCACATTTATGTAAAAAAAAAGGCTAGTTAGCAATTTGTAACATTCAATTTCAGAAGAAAAAGTGCAGACTATCAAGGAGTGGCTGGCTTAAAAGTGGCTATTTCCAAGTTTCCATGTATCATTTCACTAGACATGTTCCCACGCTGAAATAGGAAAGTTTTGTTTGTGTGTTTTATCACATTAATCCCATTGCTTCGCTGTAGACTTTTGGCTGAGCCTGACTAGATAAGACTTAGGTTAAGCCAAAGTCTCTTATTTAGGAATTATTTGTGGAAACAGATATCAGAACTTTACCTTTGGGGATCTCCGTGATGTTAGTGTCTGCAATGCGAATGTAAGAAACCCTTTTCAGGTCAGCAAAAGCACCATCATCGATTCCTGCACTCTTCAGAGGGTTGGACCCGAGCTCTGAAAAAAAAAAAAATGAAAGAACAATTTAGAGCGCAGAAAGAAAGAAGAGAAAGAAAGAGCCAAAAGCAGTAATGGATCACGTCTATGAAGTTAATTCCTCTCCTGATGTGTTACAGGAACATAGAGCTGAGTCATGAGTAAACAAAGTCTTGGGCAAGTGAATAGCTTGTGTTTTCAAGGCAGCCTTTCTTCACGCCAGATTCCTTGATTTGTCACAGATTATGATTCTCATCTCGTTGCATTTTAAATGATTGAGTCCACACTTTTCTAGTTTAGCAGTGACAGAACTTTTTAATTGGTGGAGCAGAAAGTTTTACAAGCCGGAGATGCGTTGTCAAAGTGACAAGTGGAGAAAAGGGAGGGAGAGGAGAATGAAGGCCAAATTATCTGTGGTTCTTTTGTGAAAAACAAAACAAAACATATGCTGTGTAGTCATGCATTAACAGGCTACCACAGTCTGGAGCAGTCTCATCACTCCCAGACCGTGATGTGTAATTCTAGTCGCAACAGTGAAATGCCAAGATGCAAACTTTTACTTCTGGTCTAGAAGGTCCTTTTACCTATTTTCCAGCAGGTTTCATCTTTAGAGCCACTGAGTTACGCATTCTGATGAAAGGAACCTTGTTTGTCATGATATTACTAGAAAACTCGACACAGACTGTGGAAATATTACTATTATTTAAATCCTGGTTTCACGAAATATTTTTTATCATTCCTGCTGAACTCTAGAGCATGGAGATGCCTCCAAAGACGTGGCCTACTGCTGAAAAATATGTGCTATCCACTGGCAAACCTCCAAGTAAATATCCATTTTTAAATGAATCAAAGTTTTTTTTTTAGTTTCATACCCATGACGATGACATGGGACAAGCCCTGGAAGGAGGCCTTTTTGATCTTGGTGATCTCGTTCTCATGGATGCGCAGCTCCTGCAGGCTCTTGGGCATGTTGGCGGGCATGTCCTTTAGCAAGTTCTTAGACAGGTAGAGACGCTGCAGCTTGGTCAGAGGGCTGAGTGCCTTGGCGTGGATGACAGTGATTTTGTTGTTCACCAGGATAAGAGCCTGTAAGGAAGAAAACCAGGGAGATAGTAGTGTTAAATTTTATTTTCTAAACTTGTTGCATGGTGTACTTCCACAACACTTCGTGGGAGTAGCAAAAGCAGCAAAAGATGAATTCAAGGAATTCAGTCCGGCATGTTTACAGCAGATTGTTTGTCTGTTCTTGTTTAAATTCACATCAGTGTTTAAAGTTCTATTATAATGGAATTTAAACTGAAATTTTACACCTTAGCAGCTTTCACTGTTTTTTTCTTCAACTCAGAAACAGTCACAGCTACGAATGTACCATGGGACAGTAACAAATCTGTACTTTCCAGTTGAGATTCTACAAAAACAAGACATTCTGAGCCGAGCCACCCTTAGAGACTCCAACCCGGTGCCTGTGCTGTCAAGATGGAGGGCCAAGTAAGTTCAAATCCACTTTGGAATTATCCCTAATGCATTTTCAGGGGAATCTCACTCCTGCTATTCCAGTCTCATATAAGCACACACGAGGTAATGTGTGGTATGTGGTCCATTCCCATAAGAGGCCAGTTACATTACAGTGGAAACAGCTCTGGCTGTCAGACAGAGGTATTTACTGCAAGCAAGAAAGCTACAGGAGTTTGAAGGTGTGAGGGTGTAAGCCCAACGGGTGAATAGTTTTCATGCACCTGGTGAATGGGGGAATGGTGGTGGTTGAAGAGAGTTTTGGGATGGGAGGTGAAGTGGGGTCCATGTTACAGAATGGGCAAGGAAGGAAGGCAATGAATCAGAAACAATCTGAATGAATCATTTAAAGACAACATGTTTCCCGTAGGGTTCATGTTGAAGAAGGGTGATAAAGTTACATAAGAACACTTTGCACAATATCGGGATTAGCACAGAGCATGAAGCTGTACACATGTAAGTAAAATGTCTCTTACATGCAGTCCTTTGAGGTTCTTGAAGTCATTCTCCTTGATCTCAGTAATCTTGTTGTTCTGCAGGTCCAGCAGGGTGGTGTCATCTGGGATGTCCCCAGGAACTGCCTTCAGACCTGATGGTAAATTTTTATGAGATGTTGTAAATTAGATGTAGAACATCAGGGTTAGAAGCATCCACATGCAATACTTCCATTAGAATGATGGGAAACAGAGTTTGAGATGAAGTGGCCTCTGACCTCAACAGGAAATGCACACAAAATGTCAACCTACTCGTCTCCATGATCAAGGTTACAGTTTGCTTATTTTATGTTAAAGGCCCTGAAACATATATTTTCTCATTACGTTTCTTACTTTTAGCAATGAACACAACATTTCCAGCCAAAGTTGAAACAGTTTAGTTGATTATTGTAAATGTGTTTTTTGTTCCTGCTTTTGTCATGAGTGAATGAACCTAAACTTCCTCTACCTAAATGGAGACAAGACAGAGGTCATAGTGTTTGTACAGCCTGAACAGCTTGATGTAGATTCTCTCGGCCCTTTAAGTTCAAATTATCGCTAAACTGTATTGAACAGCTGTGTTTACATTTGATAAACAGAGATCCGCCACTGTTAGATCTTGCTTCTTCCAGTTGAGAACTATAGTCAAGGTAAAGACTTATCTCCCTCCTAAAGAATTAGAGAGGGGGATTGACGCCTTCATAACTTCCCGTCTTGACTATTGTAACTCCTTATATGTGGGCTTAGATAAGTCATCCATTCAACGCCTGCAGTTAGTCCAAAATGCTGCGGCCCGCCTCCTGACAGGAAAGAAAAAGAGGGCCCACATCACACCTCCGTTGCACTCCCTCCACTGGCTTCCTGTTCATTACAAGATTGAACCTTCCTTTTAACTTTTAAATGCCATAATGGATCGGCTCCGCTTTACTTAACGGAACTTCTTCACACTCCAGCTCGAGTTAAAAACACACATCTCTTTTCTTTGGCATTTCCTTCGAGTTAAGTCAGTTATTATCCATGGCGATATTAATATCACTATATCATATGCTATAATGTTTCATTGCTGTACTTTCACTGTGTAATTACTGTTTTATTGTTGTATTTTTAACTCGTGAAGCACCTTGGTCAACCTTGGTTGTTTTAAGTGTGCTATGTAAATAAAATTGATTTTGATATTGATATTGATGAGTGGGGAGGGGTCAATTGGAAAAAGATGATCACAGTTTCACTTTCAATCACAGTTTTGCAACATCTGAATCAAGATCTGGTGACACTTGTTTGGTTGTTTGTTTATGCTGCAAACACTGCCCGCCAAAGCTGATCAAACCAAGCCTGCACAGTCCTGATTAACTAGCACTAAGATAAGTGTTTGATTGTTAAACTCTTAGTTAATAGTAACTAAGGATGTTTTTTTAACCTTGCTTGTTCCTTATTTATCCATGAATGTTTAATGCTTTTGAGAAGAACATTAGATTTGAAGGCAAGTTTTCAGGGGCTTTGAGTTCTTAAAAATTGTTAAGGACTGAACACTAAGAGACAATCCGGCCTGGATGAGCAGGAGAGAGTGACTGAGTTTACAGTAGAGACACGCTGAAATAAAAAGTCTGCTTTCTCAACCTAGCATGCAACAATGATAGCAACTTGGAGGAAAATGGGTTTTACGGTGACATTCCAAAGGGACCAAATAACTTTTTGATGTGCTCCGAGGAACACATGGTGGAAATGGACCTTAAAACAAATTTCCTTTGACTAAGTAAGCGGCTGCATACCTGGACACTGAGCTCACGCTAAATCGTTTTGCTTGGACTTTATCATGGTACACAATGTGACACCAAAAATGGCATCTTTAGTGAAAGACTATTTGGTTGAGTGGACTACAAAAAAATTGAGTGAAGACAGCTGGAGTGATGATGTATGCTCTTCTGCATCCGTGGTAACAAAAAATACATTCATAATGGGCAGTTTACATTTCAGAGGAAGAGGCGTAGAATAAACTGTTTAATAAAGAAGCTTACACTCTGTATCTCCAGTACACATACTCTGGACACATTTTTGCCTGAAAGCTTGTGACGACTTCTCTTTGGCTCACCCAAACATTACTTCCAGCTAGGCTTGCTTTTCTGTCGGCTTTTCCAACTCGGCAGGGGATGACCAACAAACCGTCACAGCTGTTTGTGGTCACCGCCATCATTACAGCACCACACATATACCTCTATACAGTACTTGCACACACAGTCTTTTTTATCTTTCTCTAAAAGTCAGACTATCTCAGTCTTTGCTCTTTCAGTTTTGAATAGTTTAAAATGGGTCTTTTAAAGTTGAATGATGTCAAGAATCGTCACATATCAACTGTTCAGTTCGTACTGATTTTACATGCAGAGTAACAGTAAGTAGTAACATGCAGATTTGTTTAAAAAGATTATGCATTAAAATCTATTTTTCACCCACATTTTATGTCCTCCTGCATCCTTTTTATTGCTTCTCCTGCTGTAAGTAGATACTCTTCACAACAATTTACAGTAAAGTAAGTTATCTTGTGACAAAAGCAGCTTGAAAAATGCTCCCTGTAACAGAAAATGAGGGGGAAATGTGTGGAACACACAAATGAGCTATTGATTATACACCAGAGTATCTTAAAATAAAAAACTAATTTTTACAATAATATTTCAAGCTGTTCTATAAAAAGTGTTCAAAATTAACACAGATAATTCTTTAATTCTTTAATTCTCTAATTTAAATAAAACAAATGAGGATAAAACCACCTAATCCAAATGCTTCCCCTCATACTGCTAGCACAGAGGTCTTGTATAAGGAAAGTTATCTTTTGATACATGCCTCATCCCTACTGTTATAGTTATTATCAATCACTCCATTTTAAAGCAAAGTGATTGGGATATCAAGCATATTATTGCTTTGGACTGGACTCATGTTCAGCACTTCTGAGCATCAATAATCAGTCCTCTCCTTGTCTGGTGCTCTGGTCATGCAAGGCAAGTTGATCTGGCTGCATCAGCAAAGTCCTGATTGCCTCATGGGATATGAGTACGTTTGGATTTTGTTTGGTAGGCCATGCATAAGTGTGGGTAGATGTGATGTGCATGCCCACCAAATACGCACATTACACAGTCTGTGCTTACAAAATATTTTACATGATGTATTTTAGATCAGAGAAGCTGCAATTGGGTGAACACTTATAACCACGAACAAAAGGCTGTTGTGTAAGTCTAATTGGTAAAACCTCTTTCTAACAGAATTAGCAAAATATAATCACAGCTAATTTGAACCCTGGGCTAAATGTTCTCTCCTGAATGTTTTAGCTGTCATCATGCCAGCTGCAAACTCACAGAGAACTTAAAATCTACAAAAGCGACAGGGTGCTTTGGGATGGTGAGCAGACTCCCCTGTCTTGCCCAGGCCCCGTGTGTATGTGTCCAAGTATATACATAGAGGTTTTAATCCTGTGTGTCTAAATGTGTGAGTGTGTGTGTGCCAGCAGGTCTGGGGAACAGATGGAGGCTCGGGGCCAACAGTGCTGATGCAGGAGTTGAGAATCCAGCCGTGGAGCTGTGTCTCTGGGGAGAGTGCTGCTGCTGACTGGGGGACTGGAGGACTGATGTAATGGAACGAGGCTTTTCCTGAACATCACTCTCTCCAACTGTCTGTTGCTCTGACTGCCTGTCTGTCACTCTGACTGTTGAGCCACCTGCCTATATGGGTCTGCGAGTACGCTCTGCTGACACTATGTGATTGTTGTCCTGAATCTATAGACGCTCTTCCATTTTACTGTCTCAGCCCTGAACCACTTAAGCTTACTAAACCAAAGTGGTTATGAGCTGGTTATGTCTGTCTTTTTTCTTGTTTAATTGTATCCTCCCAGTTTGTCCATCTGTGTCACTCCCACTCTCCTTTGTCTGTCTCCTTGAATCTTGCGCCCCTTCCTTTCCAAACAAAAGCACAGCCAAAAACCCAAATCAAACAGCGCAGTAAAGAAGTTTTATCTAGTATACAAGAATAAATGAGGTCAGGGACTTTTCTATGACAAGGTTTGTGAGATGACTCAAGCTGTTGTATATTACATACATCAGATTAGACAAACAGACTGGCTAAGCTCCAAACAACGAAGATGATAGTTGAATAAACTGTTGTGACTGTGCTGAATTAAAAAGATGACTAAGCAATTGTAGTCTTTCAAACTCGGTGAGTAAACTTCAGATTTAGAAACAACTTTTTGTACATTTCAGCTTGTTAAAACTGGCATTTGTTAAGGACTTTCCTATCCCCACACTAACATGTAATCTCTAATTTCCCCAGAAAGGGCAAATAATGTAACTGTGACAGGAAGTGAAATAAGGCATACAACATCTGTGAGCATTTAAGGTATCAACATTGGTGTCAGGTTCTCTGGAGGATAAAATATATCCCTCGACTGACCCTGTGGGTTTGGGTGGACGGTGGAGACGGTCGAGCTTGTAAAGTCATAAAAACCTGTAATGTCACTCAGCACAATAAAGCAGATTAAAACTACTGCAGACACCCATCTGACCTCAGCATGATCCATCAAAGTGAGCTCATTTGTTTGGAATCCAGGCCAGAACACCAAATGGAGGAGTGGACGAAGAAAATGGATGTGAACAAGAAGCTTGTAGGACTTACTATGAACATTTAAAATCAAGTCACTTTGATTTATTTTAGGGATTGTGGGCTACATGTAGCATGAGCACAAATGATCAAAATAACTGAGCCTTTACTGTTTTTAAAATGAGTTTCTCAAGTTTAAAACAGCAGAAGCAGATTTTTGAGGCGTTGTAGTTGTGCTTGAAATGCACAGTAGTCTTTCCAGTTTCTCAAACCTGTGGATTTGTTGCTTTTTCCTGTTTGTACATCACTGTGAGTTTGAATATCTTTTGATCAGTTGTTGGAACAAAACAAGCAATTTGAAGAAGTAATTTTGGGCTCTGGGAAATGTGACAGGCATGTTTCTTTAGTTTCTGGCAATTTACAGGCAAAATGATTGATTGATTAATCAAGAAAGTAATAGGCTTAGAGTTCCACCCTAACATGTTCAGGTAAAAAAAATAATGAAATAATAAAATACGCAACAATATATTACAGGACTGTACAGTATAGTTGTTGTACTTCCATAAAGGCATTTGTGAAAATGTTTTTAGGTATTTTGGAGAGGTGTGTGTGTGTGTGTGTGTGTGAGCAGTTTCTGACACTGTAACTACAAACATGTAAGTGCTCGTGTGACTACCATAATACCTCAATATGCATTTATCATAAACAATGGGGCTTTATGTATCACAGAGGATACTGCCACCTTGCATGCTGAAAAGAATGAAACTATTAAATTCTATCTAGATTCAATCTCAACAAACAATATAAAAAAGTTTCAAGCAATGCTGAGCTTTGGCCTTTGTTTCCAGTAATCACACCTTTGCGTCAGAATCAGCGAGGATAATGATTCCTCAATGCTAAAATGCTGCACATTGAACTTTTAATTATATGTATTAAATGTATTAATAGGTAAAAGAATATAAAGAATCCCAGACACGTTTAGAGTGTGTGGGATTATACATAACCATATGTCTTGTCTTACCGAGGTCAGAGCACTGGATCACGCGCAGGTGGCACTGACATCTGAATGGGCATTTGGGTCCATCAGGCACGACAGAGGGACCTGAATCTGTAGGCTCCCCAGGTAAACCTGATCCCGCCTCGTCCTCCATCATGAAGTCTAGGAAACCAGATTGGCGGAAGGGCAGAGCCCAGCAGGCAGTGATCAGGAGCAGAGAGAGACAGGCTGACCTCATGGTGCTGCTAGCAGAGAGCCTGAAAGATGAGAGGACGCAGTTCAAAGGTTTGGGTGGATTCACTTTCAAAACAGTCTGTCTATGATTAGTTTTTAAAATGGCTATACTGTTAGGGAAAATAGATTTTCACTGTGGCAGTGAATCAAAGGCAGAGAGAACGGCATAGTGTGAGAAAGAACAAATGAGAACATGACTTTGATTGAGGTCCAGAGAGGCAAAGGGCAAAGGGTAGAGGTGGAGGGCTAGAGGCTAAACACTTAGGTGTAACAATTTAGTGAGTTTGGTCAAATAAGCTATTTAACTGGTCAGATTTAGGCAGAAGGTTAAAGATGACAGAGCAAGGTTAGTGTGAGAAAATTACACAATATTGTTTGCCCGGGAGGATAAGCCGTGGGGGTACATAATGTTTATGTTACTGAGGAATAGAGAGCAAAACAAAAAAAAACTCAATTCCATAAGTAGTAGTGATACTGTAGTCTGAAAAATTTAATTTTGGCGATGAGATATCTACAGTGGTGACATACCACAACAGCCCTGTCTGATGAACTCAAGAAATCATTTGATCAATATTGTCATGCTCCAAATATGTTAAAATGATTTTGAACTGGAATTCAACACAATTAATCATAAGTAGAGAATAATGTTATATAATACTGTTTTTACACAAACAGTTTGGTCAAGTTTGCTTTTTTACCATTTGGAGTGGCAGAAGCTGGATACTTCAAGCATTTATCCATTACTTTAATCTATTTAAATTATTAGGGCCCGAGCACGACCGTGCGAGGTCCCTATTGAAATTGCTCGGATTATTTTTTTTTTTTTTTTTTTTTTTTTTTTTTCTGCAAAGTAGGCCCAAATGACATGGCCTAAACATACTCGAAAACTCACCAAAATTTGCAAACATGTCAGAACCGGTGAAAAATTTCGTATTCTACAAGTTTCGCACATGGGCGTGGCAAAATGACTCGCTAGCGCCACCTAGAAAATTGGAAATGATTAGCCCCTCGTTCACGTTCAACCTACATGTACGAAATTTTCTGGGGACATGTATCGTATCAAGACGCACAAAAAAGCCTCAAGAACCCATAGCCTAAAGTCAACAGGAAGTCGGCCATTTTGAATTTTATGGCCATTTTTGGATGATTTACATACTTCGTACTTTAACGAACTCCTCCTAGGGATTTAGTCGGATCGACCTCAAATTTCTGCTGTGCCTTCTAAAGGCATTGACGATGAAAAGTTGTGCTATTTGCGCGTTTTCGTCAATGGGCGTGTCCGTGGCGTCGATGATTCGCAATGAAACAGGAAGTTGTTGTAACTTCAGTGTACATGCTCACATCCGGACCAAACTGTACATGTAGGATGAGAGTCCCGCCCTGAACACATGTACATGCCGACATTCACCCACAGTCATAGCGCCACCTGCTGGCAACAGAAAGTGACCTTTAACGAAGCAGCCCCCGCCGCACGTTTCACCTACGTGCACGAATTTTCTGTGGTACGTGTATCTTGTCCAGACGCACAAAAAAGTCTCTTGGAGCCATAGCCTAAACCCAACAGGAAGTCGGCCATTTTGAATTTTACGTCAAATTTTGGATGATTTACACACTTCGTACTTTAACGAACTCCTCCTAGGGATTTAGTCCGACCGACCTCAAATTTGTGCTGTGCCTTCTAAAGGCATTGAAGATGAAAAGTTGTGCTATTTGCAAGTTTTCGTCAATGGGCGTGTCCGTGGCGTGGCGTCAAAGATCAGCTCTTCGCCATGACACGGAAGTTGTCGTAACTTCAGTGTACATGCTCACATCTGGACCAAACTGTACATGTAGGATGAGAGTCCCGCCCTGAACACATGTACATGCTGACATTCACCCACAGTCATAGCGCCACCTGCTGGCAACAGGAAGTGAATTTTAACGAAGCAGCCCCCGCCGCACGTTTTACCTACGTGCACGAATTTTCTGTGGTACGTGTATCTTGTCCAGACGCACAAAAAAGTCTCTTGGAGCCATAGCCTAAACCCAACAGGAAGTCGGCCATTTTGAATTTTACGTCAAATTTTGGATGATTTACACACTTCGTACTTTAACGAACTCCTCCTAGGGATTTAGTCCGACCGACCTCAAATTTGTGCTGTGCCTTCTAAAGGCATTGAAGATGAAAAGTTGTGCTATTTGCAAGTTTTCGTCAATGGGCGTGTCCGTGGCGTGGCGTCAAAGATCAACTCTTCGCCATGACACGGAAGTTGTCGTAACTTCAGTGTACATGCTCACATCTGGACCAAACTGTACATGTAGGATGAGAGTCCCGCCCTGAACACATGTACATGCTGACATTCACAGACAGTCATAGCGCCACCTGCTGGCAACAGGAAGTGACTTTTAACGAAGCAGCCCCCGCCGCACGTTTTACCTACGTGCACGAATTTTCTGTGGTACGTGTATCTTGTCCAGACGCACAAAAAAGCCTCTTGGAGCGATGCCCTAAAATCAACAGGAAGTAGGCCATTTTGAATTTTACGTCAAATTTTGGATGATTTACACACTTCGTACTTTAACGAACTCCTCCTAGGGATTTAGTCCGACCGACTTCAAATTTGTGCTGTGCCTTCTAAAGGCATTGAAGATGAAAGTTGTGCTATTTGCGAGTTTTCGTCAATGGGTGTGTCCGTGGCGTGGCGTCAGAGATCAAGTCTTCGCCATGACACAGGAAGTTGTTGTAACTTCAGTGTACATGCTCACATCTGAACCAAACTTTACGTGCTTGATAACTCTCCCACCCCGTTATGGAGGACTGATCCTGACACAGTCAGAAATAAATACAGAAATAAATAAATGCTCAATAAATAAATAAGCATCCAATTAAATACACAAAAAATAAAGTAAATAAATAAATGTAGGTAGTAATTAAATTATACAAGGAGACATAAATGTATATATTTTAATTAGTGCCTTTACTATTCACCTTTGTTATAATTACCTTATTTGTTTATTCAACTTTATTTATTACAAATTTTTTAATGTATTTATTTATGTGTGTGTTTTAATATTTTGTCTGTTTTATTCTTCCTTTGTATTTATTTACCTTATTTATTTTCACCCATGGTATTTATTTCTGCCTGTCTTTTTTAAATTTTGTATGCATTTCTGCCTCATTATGCAAATGAGGAGGGGCTGTGTCTCAAGGGGTCATCTTCTCTGCTATTGGTGGACCAGTCAGACAGGAGAGCTCCTACTCTGCCTGCAGACATCAACGATCTTGCCCCTCACACAGTCAGATGGCTTCCTTCAGTGCGCTGAGGTGTTTAACAACTCTGAAGACAATACTACCAGCAATGTCTTCCTTCTCTTTTCACGTAGACGCTCCGACAGACGGTGCTTTCAGTTTGCTGCATGCATGGACACAGAACTGCGGTACAGCACACAGTAACGATGAAATGTGTGCTGTTCTCACATTCTTCCTCTGTATGTACACATAAACAACAAGGCAGGGAAATATAAAAGGAATTTATTTTATTGTTTGGGTACATTATTGTTCAGTGTACATGCTCACATCTGAAACAAACTTTACGTGCTTGATAACTCTCCCACCCCGCAGACATCTACACGCCAACACCGATTTATATTCATAGCGGCAAGTGCTATGTAGCTCCACATAGGGGACACAGGAAGTGACATATAACACCTTCATGCGGCGTCATAACCGCGTAGCAAATTCACAGCCGCACCGGCAGAGCTCCAGAATATGCAACTCGGCCGGCTCACACGCGGACGCGCTTATAAGTGCGAGGGCCCGCCCAACGCTGCTTGCAGCTTTAATTTATCATTACTTTTACTTAACCATTTCAACCAGTAAAACATTACTTTTAGGTATTTAAACCATTTATTTATTTAATCCATTACTATTTTCTACCGACTATTTGAACCATTTATTCATTTAACTGTAGCATTATTTTTTTTCTACCTGTCCAGGGTGTACCCCGCCTTTCGCCCAATGTAAGCTGGGATTGGCTCCAGCCTCCCGCGACCCTGTACGCAGGATAAGCCGTTGACGATGGATGGACAGATTATCTTTTTTCTATTGGTTCATAGTTAAAGGGTTTGTTTTCTTTAAAAATTATCTGGATACCATAATACAATGTGCCCATGTAATTTGCAACAGACACAGAAGCAATATAGTTGCTGCATAAGCAACATCTGCATTAGCTTTTACAGTAATACACAGGGGATGCATCATGGGAAATGTCATGGCTGCCACTGTATACCACGGTACTAGATTTTCTATTCAAAAGTAATGAATTACAGTGATCATTTGTACTGCCATTAAAGTACAGTATCAATGGTCTGTGATGCAAAAAAAATGCAAAAATACAATGCAAGAGCATGTCTGTACTGTACTAGTGGAGTCACTGGGAGAATCCTGCTGCCTTATGCTTCTATTTCACAACCATTGACACATACACACTCTCTCTCAAACTCAAACAGTGTGGAGATCCACACAAACACCCTAACCTTTTACACAGAAACACACACATACATGCATGCGCGCACACACACACACACACACACACACACACACACACACACACACACACACATGGACTGTCTCAGAGACCCAGCAATCTGCTTGTCATGTGCATAGCCAGAAGTTGCTCCTTCCCTCTTGGTGCCACAATAATTGAAGGGCAGTTGAGTTGGAAGCAGCTGGTCTGCAGCAGACCTTGACCTGAACATCATGACCAGGATGATGAAACTGACCCAAAACCATCAGTTGCCCAGAGCTGAAAGTGAATCTGGCCTGGTTCATTTGATCTGTGTGCATGTGTATGATGTTTTTAGGTGTGAAGCAATAGCTTGTGTTTGAGTGTATTAAAGCAAGTGCACAAGTTGTGTGTGTCCCTCACGACATGTGTACATACTGTATTTGTTAGTAAAAGTAATAAATGCACAGGTTTAAATCTTTCAAAGGTTTTCACCAGTGTGTGTCTTTGATGTGAGATGAATGTGAGAGAAAGCAAAA